CGGTGGAGGTCACTAGGGTGATGGTAACTGTCAGCAATCGACGATGGTCACTATCACCGGAGGTTCACATTGTAAATGACCAAATTATATAGATAACAAGAAAATAAGGCAATTCAAGTATATATTGAGAAAAAGTTTTGATGAGTGTATAACATAATTAGACCATTAATGATAAATGTGATGTTATAAATGTTTTTTTTTTAATTTGAAAATTAAATTGTCATTTAAGAGTTAATTATTTCCTGAAATAGAAATGAGAACTTTTAGTCAAGACGTCCAAAAAAGGAAAGTAAGAGCCTTAAGCTGGGAGAGATAGATTAATATTTATATAAAACATAATAATAACAATTATTAAAATGTGATATTTTACTGCTCTATATCAAATAAACTTGTGAAAACTGTCAAATAGGCAATTATAGTATATCAAAAACTGAAAAAAGTCAATTAAGCCTTTGAACTAAACAAACACTCGATTAAGCCCATAAACTTTACACAAATAATCGGTTATCCGGTCATATAGTTGATGTTGCAATCCACATGTTTTTCTCTCTCTCTTTTTCTTTCTTTCTTTCTTTTCTCTCTCCTTCTGCTACCTTCTTCTTGCACCGTTCTCTTCTACCCGCCCGCCGTTCTCTTCTACCCACCGATATTCTTTTTTATTCTTTCTTTTATCTCTCTCTTTCCTTTCTATTCTCTGAATCTGAAAAGTCACACCTGAGACTCTACATATGGATGTGAAGACCGGGTACGACGGCGCCAGAGGTGTAAATCGTAAGAGAAGACCGAGCACGGGGCGTCGGAGGTGCAAATCGAAGGAGAAGACTAAGCACGGGGTATCGAAGGTGTAAATCGTGGGAGAAGGCTAAGCACGAGATGCCAGTGGTGTAAATAACAGGAGAAGACCAAGCACGATGGCACTGAAGATGTAAATCACAGGAGAAGACATCGCATGCTCAAATCAACCGGTTGGATGAATTGTACAGCCACCGGGCTTAAGGTTGTCTTCTTTGATCAACGAAGAAGACCTCACCTGCACGACTGCACCAACACGAATCGCGAGTGGGCCAATGGTCTTCAAATCCGAGAATCTCCTCCCTAGATTGTTTATTTGCACATCTCTCTTTGCCTGTTGATGTAGATGATATTATGGAACGAACAAGAGATTAAGAAGAAACAACTTTGTCTTCACCACTGCCGACATCTTCAGCTTTAGAATCCATCATCGGCGTCCTCCTGCACTTTGAAGTAGCAGTCTAATAAAAACGAAAAAATGTAGGATTTTCAGAAGAAAAAAAGAAAAGAATAGAGCACAATAGGGTACAAGAAGAAACAATAAGGGGAGAGAAGTTCAACACACATGATAAGGAAGAATTGTAGGGATCACATAAGAGGTATCTATGACACTCACAATGTCACACACTCAAGACAATCAACTAAATATGCAATCTAATCAACCCAAATGGTCACACAACCAAATCACCACATCTAATCAGCACACATGATATTTTTACGTGAAAAACCCTTCAACGTGAAGGGATAAAATCACGGGACCTCTTGAGCAGTCCACTCTTACTTCTCGTATTGATAAATGAGGATAAAAGAACCCCAAATCATTTTACAAAAGGATTCACAACCCACCAACAATCACCAAGAATAATAAGAGATCAAAATAACACAATAAGATGTAGAAATCATCCAAAACTACAGATCTGTTCGAGCAGATTTTTTGATAAGCAGAGTTCAACAGAACAATCGACCCTTCAAAGTTAATACCTTGAAGTCATTAACAAATTGTCCAATTTTCAGCAAAATCCGACCATGGGAACACCTCCGATCGTTGATCTGATTGAAGTTGTGCATTGCACTCCGAAAATCAGAAATCTTGTCCCGTTTTTTGCTGTTTTGGGTGTGTGAGGATCAGTTTTCCATACCCTTCCAAACCTGTTGTTTTGCATCAAAAGGACCTAAAAAAACTTCTCTTAGAATCCCGAAGCTCAATATCAAATGGACCAAAAAATTGGACATAAAAGTATCATGAAGGTCCAAACATAAACAACAAAAGCAATATAAAATATTACAATCTTTACAGATATGGGATGGACCCTTAACAAACTCCACGTCCAGCCCAACACGAGGAAGATGAACACTCTTCAATCATCACTTGAAGCTCATCCCCGCAAGCTTTCCACAAACACCAAGATTGCTTCTTGGAATCACTTTAGTTAACATGTCAACACCATTCTTGTTTGTACGATTCTTCAGTTCCATAAACTTTTCTTCAATCATATTCTGCAACCAATGATACTGAACATCAATATGTTTGGTTTGTGCGTGATACATGGAATTTCTAGCTCAAATCTATAACACTTCTTGCTCCAAGACCAATTCTCGAAGGAAACTCTTCAACCAAAATATTTCCTTACTTGCTTCAATAGTTGATATACTCAATAGCTTGGGGAAGGTCTGAAATCAGCTCACAGAGAGAGAGAGAGTCGATCAGAGTTCGTTTTTGGGATAAAAGAGGATTTTTCTCGTTTAAAAAGAGTATCGGACCAACTTAGCCAAAAATTGCCCCGACCGGAGCCGGTTAGGGCCCAACCGGCGCCGGTTGCCCTGCCTTTTCACCGCCATACGTTCTGTTTTGGACCGGCGCTGGTCCGGGTCCATCCGGTGCCTGTTCAGGGTTCCCCGAGTGCCGAAAATGCCCATTTTCGCCCTAAACCGACCCTGATTGTTGGGCGATCACACCCTTGACCCTCGATGACAATTTAAACACCCGAATAATATCTAACATGACAACTAACTTGATATACCATTACATTCAAAATACAACTGATTATTACAACTTGATCGGATACCGTTGCCTGTCACGTTCAAACATAATGCAAACATATAAGTTCAAATACAATTATCACAAGGTTCATAATCACATGATATCCCTACACTTCACATATATAGCACTCAACCATAACTCAGAACATGATCATATATAATTAATTAAATTTGCACACAAGAAGTATATAAAAAGTACGGGCGTTACAAATGCTCTCATATGTTGTATCAAGATCATCATGTGTTGGATGTTCAACAGAAACAGAACTACGAACAGAAGATACATCTGTAATATCAACAAATGGATTAGAGTAAGTATGATACCCGACACTCAAAAGTTCTGCTCCCTTCTCGTGCTTAAAGAACACTACATCTCTACTTCTCACTACCTTTTGCTTCTCGGGGTCATAGAGCCTGAACCTGTACTCTCCATCACCATAGCCAACAAACACACACGGAGTAGTCTTGGAATCAAGCTTCAACCTCTGATCTTTCGGCACATGCATATAAGCCTTGCATCCAAAGAGTCTAAAATGTGAATATGAGGGATCACATCCCTTCCGATCTGTCTCTGAAATGTCAAGACCCAACGAAATAGATGACAAATGGTTGATCAAGTAAACAACATTATTTATTGCCTCTGCCCAAAAAGATTTACGTAGATCAGATATCCTCAACATACACCTCCTTTCTCCACAATGGTTATGTTCATCCTCTCCACAACGCTATTATGTTGTAAAGTGTTAAGAATTGTCTTCACATGTCGAATGCCATGTTGTGAACAATAATTCTTGAACTCATATGAAGTATACTCACCACCATTTTAAAATTAAAATGAAGGCACCTCAATTTTCTTTTAATCTCCCTTTCCACCATAGCATGAAATTTCTGAAATGTCTCAAACATTTGGCTCTTGGTCTCTAACGTGTAAACCAAAGTTTTCTAGCATCATCATCAATGAAGGTGACAAAATATTTTCCGCCACCATTAGACTTTACCTCAATGGGATCACAGACATCGGAGTGCACAAACTCTAGCTTAACCTGCCTCTTAGTGCACTTCCTCGTAAAAGGAGCTCTATGTTGGTTATCTGCCAGACAATGATCACAAGAGTCAAGAGCAACTGTAGTGTCAACATGAATAAGAAATTTACATACAAGACACTTTAAACCCTTGTCACTCATGTGTCCCAAATCTGCGGTGCCACAAATTAGGAGAATTCTTCTCTTCCACTACATTAAGTCCACCAGAGCATACACTCAAATATGTCTTGTACAAAGAGCAACACAACTCGCCTCGTGAAACTATCATAGAACCAATTTTCACTTGCCATCTCCAAATGTGTGTCTCAAACCTTCTTGATCAAGAACATTAGTAGATAGCAAATCAACGCATAGATCGGTGCACACCTTTCAATGTAAGTATGCAACCAACACTAGACTTCACATGAATATCACCTACTCTAACAATGTTTGTTGAGCTTTGGCTACCCATCTTAACGTTACCAAAATCACCAGCTTGGTAGTTCATGAAGTACTCTCTCCTGAGAATACAATGATATGAAGCACTTGTATCTACAAGCCACTTTGAGTCAGAACTATCAACACGATGACACTCACTAGTTGCACAAATCAAAGTAACATCATCATCAATCTTATAAGCAATTGCAGCAGTGTTTTTTGTCATCTCCCTCTTTATGTGAATAATTCTTCTTCCTCTATTCTTTTTCAAACGGAAACGATGCTTCTTCATATGAGTAGGTTTCTTGCAACAATGACATGTATTCAAATATTCTTCCTGTTAGTGGACTTGGACATGTTTCTTGAATTATTGTGACCTTTGGGACCCCTATTGTTGATCCTTCCTTTGTTCTAAACAACTAGAGCATGTGTATTATCAAACATAAACTTTAATAACAATTTACTCCCTCCGTCCCATAAAATTCTCCCCACTTCCCTTTTTGAGCCATCCCAAAAAATTCTTCCAACTCACCATTTTTGGACAATTTGTGTGGTTCACATTCATTTCACCTTTTTCATACACAATCACAACCATACATTTTCACTTTATTTCACTTTCTTAATCTACGTGTCAAGTAAAAGTTAGAAGAATTTTATGGGATAGAGTTAGTATATTTTTGCATTTTATAATATTTTTACTCCCCGTACTTTTTGTTCCGGTTCCGGCCCTGACCCCAACCCACAGGCGGACATGTGGAGTGACGATTATGAGAAGTGGATCGCGAACACTGGCATCACTTATCTGAGTATCTGATCTCTGCCGCGCACGACGAACGACGGACCTCTGCAGGACGCTTCACTCGCCTCTGCGTTGATTAATTTAGGCTTTCTGAGTGGTGGTGCTAGCATTTAATTTGGTGGGTCTTTTGCAAGAATGACCCTTTTATGCTTTCAATGTTATTGCGTATGGAGTAGGTTTAGTTCATTTTCTTTATAATATGGCGATTGAAAGAATGTGTTCTTTTTCAGTGAAGGGATGGTGAACATTAGAGATAGAACAGAGGATTTCAAAGATGCTGTCCACCGATCAGCCGTGTCTCTGGGGTATGATGAGGTACTTTGACTTATGGTGGGGAGGTTAATCAAAGTTCTCCCCTTTTGGTCATTGCGAGATTCGAACCTTGGTGTACGTCCAATTTTTCCACCGCTAGCTCGAACAACTGAGCTACCCATGCGGGTGTTCTATTCTATCCTTAATATGACCTGATGCTGCAGATTCCTCTTTGGATATGCTCATTTTTGTACGGCCTGATCCTTGCTCTTAATTTTCTAAGGCTTTCAAACCCAAAGAGGGTGTTGAAGTCCCTACCGTGCTCACATTTTAGTTTCAGCATGTGTTGTTTTCTCTCCCACTCTAGTATAGACATGTAGCGTGTTCGGTAGCTTTATTTTCGTCCATCAGCTTTGTGGACCATTTTTTCACAAACACTAACTATTCTTGATGCACGAGATGAAAGTAGTAATGCACACATTATTATATGTGGGCATGTGGCTGACATGGCTAAAATGTATACTTTTAGCTTCATTTTTGGATATCAGCTCCTTGCCTCCTTCAATTTATTTACATATGTATTTTTAAGATAATTCAATAAATGCAGTCATTTCTGCACCACTGAAGCCATTTAAACAGATTTCGCCAGTTCATCATTTTAAGCCTTACCAAAGGGGCTCATAGTGCTTTTTATTGGATTTCCTAGTTTTTCCATTGCGGTGAATCCCGGTCACTGCAGCCATGTCTTGAAATGTTAAGAGTGCATCCATGTCTCACAACAATATTAAAGAGTCATATGCGGATTTAGAATATAGCAAAAGATTCATGCAAAATATTTTTTCTATCATTTGCAATGGAGCCAAAGATTCACTATTTTTTTGTTTGAGAATATGATGGAATATAGCAAAATGGCTCACTAAATTGTCTGCGCTTCTTTGTTATGAAGCAAGAGTCAGTTAAATGCAATTTACGTCGCGAGTTTCACCATGGCTCATCCAGAAACAGCCTCTGTGTGCTTTAGTACATGGGTAAGGCTTCGTACATCCGACCCCCCTTACCCCACCATAGGTGTGAGCCTTTGCGGCACTGGGGTAATGATGATGATGATGATGATGATGTGGATTTAGAAGTTCCAGGGTAACTGCTAACTGGGTAATCGATTGCTTTCTGTCTTTTAGTGTTCGCATTATAGCCGAATTGAGTGACTGCAGCCAATTTATGAATCTATTGTAACATTGTAATGTTCACCTCCATAGTTAAGTCATAAGTTAGATTGGGTTTTCTTTTGCACATCGGTTTTTTCCTTGTGAATTTTGGAAGCAAATTGATATCATCTAAGTTCTAACCAATCATAGTTGTCGTTGCTTACAGACAAGGATAGCAGCTATATTAGCTTCATTTATCATGCGCAAACCCCGACAAAGATCACCTTTCATCAAAGCTGCACTGAAGACGGTATAGTTTTCTGATTAAGTGCTTATTCTCTCTCTTATTGTACATGTTTTATATGTTGTATTACAAAACAGATCCTCATTTGCTTAAAAACAATGCATGTACTGTTTTAAGGTGAATATTTGTGAATGCAGACTACAGAAATGTTTATTGAGGAAATCCTTTTTTCAGGTAGATAGCATTGGAGTCCTTGAAGAATTCTTGTTGAAACATAAGAAGGATTATGTGGATTTGTACCGCACAACTGAACAAGAGAGAGATAGCATTGAAAGTGAAGTAAGATTGATATATTATCTTACTTCTATCAGTATTTAACCAACTTCCCACTTAACTTAATCATCAATTCAGTGTTCATATTGCTTTCAATACTGAGATGAATCTGGCTTGTTTGTTTTCTTAAGCTAGAATGATATAATCTTTATTGCATTTAGGGACTCTTTTAACATAACTTTGATCATACAATTCTGTGCAGGTAACCTTTTTCATAAAATCTTGCAAAGAGCAAATAGATCTTCTAAAAAACAGTATAAATCAAGTAGATGATGCAAACTCAAAGGGTTGGATTGGATTCAAGGGTGAATCTTTGAATGCAGATACAGTTGCACACAAGCATGGAGTGGTAACAGTAATCTCCTGTTTTAGCTTGTTTATCAATAAACTTCGAATGATTTATGTTTTTGTTAGTGATCAATCCCAGCATCTGTATTAGTAACTTACTAACTGATGGAGCCTTTGATAAATGGATTGTGGCATTACCTAGGTAATATAATTGAATCAAGGCATCTAGGTAGCGTAACATTAAATTTTTATGATTCTAGAGATTAGATTACCTCGATAATATGGAGATTAATATTACCACCATTATTTTGTACTCCGTAATATTTTAGAATATTCCAAATTTGTCCTCAAATGTTGGACAATATTATTAAAATCTTTTTCCATCAACCAAACAGTTCCCTTACATGCCGTGATCATATCATATTACTCAAGGCAGTGTATATCCCATGAACCAACCAACCCATAAGGGTAAATGTTCTGGAATAAGTCATAGTTGTGAGACCTCTTTGATGTGTAGAAGCATCAGGGTTTATGGTTTCTTTGTTAGTGTTGGATTTATCGTGAACATGAAACTGCATTATTTGGCATGAACATAGTTTTGAAAGACACCAGTATTCTTAACAATTGATTGAAACATAATTACAGGTTTTGATTTTATGCGAAAAGCTCCACTCTGTCTCTTCCCAATTTGACCGACTCAGAGCCGTACGCTATCAAGATGTTATTAACCGCAGAGCACTAAGAAGGAAACCTACACAGGCTGGCAAAACTAGTTCAACAGAGATATCCACACCCACTAACTTAGAAGAACAAGTTAAGCAAAGTGATGCTCAGACCATGGAGTCCAATGAACTAAGATCAGAATCTGTCAGAGTTCAAGAACAATTTTTAGATGATGAAACACGGGCTCTTCAGGTAGTCAGTAGTCTTATGTTTTCTGCTAAGGATCAGTTTGGGTTGAGGCATTTGGAGGGGAAGGCTTTAGAGGGGCTTAGTATATAAGTTCAGCTCTTCTAAACCAAATGAAGGGTAATTGAATTTTGTATAATAATGTATTATGTCACCCTTCAGTTTTTATTAAAATCTCACGTACACGGTACATCAAGATGTTAATTTAGCCCTCCAAAATCCTTCAACCAAACTGACCCCAATGGTATGTTTGGATGGAGTTCCAAACTGAATGAGGGGAGGTCTGTTTAAATGGATGGTTTTATAGAGGAAGGGTTTATAAAGCTTGGTCTATATCATTAGAAATAGAAACTTTCTGAAAAAATAAAGTGCAGGTTATATGATCACATATAGTAGCTAATACAACAACAACATCCAAGCCTTAGTCCCAAAAGATATTGGGGTCGGCTAACATGAATCGATACATGATATCACCACCAAAAGGAAAAGAAAGGAAATAAAGATAAAAAAGATAAGCTATTATAAAAAGATAATATAAAAAGAGATGAATATACATAAAAATGATAAAATAAAAAGGATAAAAATAATGCTTATATATATAAGGATAAAAAACAAGGAAAAAAGATGAGGGAAAAAGATGATACAAGATCACTCCTCCACACGAATACCCACCTCCACTTAGCTCTCTCCAAAGTCATGCCTTCATCCTACCCCAGAAGAAGCATATCACTATTCACTTCGAACTCCCCTAATCCACGTCTGTTTGGGTCTTCCTCTCTCTCTCTCTTCTCTGCCTCTTCTCCACACATCTCAACTCGTCTAACAGGTGCATCACTCAGTCTTCTACGCACATGACCAAACCACCGTAGGCGCGACTCCCGCATCTTGTCTTCAATATAGTAGCTAATCTTTCAATATTTATTAAACCTTTAATACGATAGTATATAACAAGATATAGATTAAGTCCTATATGATTTGTTGTTAGATGGCGGATCTGAAAACTTAAAGTCTTGGATAGGTTCAAAATCACATAGGTTCAGTTTGGGTATGGGGATTTGGAAGGTTTTGGAGGTTTATAGTCTATAACAAAGAAATATTTCTAGAAACAAGTAAAGGGTGGTTCATATATTATACTTTCACCTTTTATGTTATTCCTTCCATTTTCACAAAACCTCAATTCTAAAACTAGCTAAAACCTCATAATACCCCCTCCAAAACTTCCATCCAAATAGACCATTAGAATTAACTTATTACATGGGCTGTAATGCAGGCAGAGTTGAGTGGCCTCTTGGATGCTGTTCAAGAAACTGAAACGAAGATGGTGGAAATGTCTGCCTTGAACCACTTAATGTCCACACATGTTCTTCAACAGGCCCAACAGATTGAGTATTTGTATGACCAGGTTAGTGAATCTTTTATTATTTCTTGTGTTACTTTCATGTTGGATTTTAGAAACATGTTATTTTTCACCTACCTCTATCAGACATTAGGATTTGATAAGGATTTATTGGAATATAACACTTACCCCCCGTCCCAAATTAGTTTGTGATTTAGAAAAGCGCACCGCACAAGTGTACACAAAACACTTATTAAATTTTTAGCATTAATTGCATCTTTTTCTTTTCAAGGTACACTAGTGTTTAATGTAGGAAGAGTTAATATTGGCACATTTTGAACAACAACAACAACAATAACAACATCCAAGCAAGCATATACTCAAAAGATTTTGGGGTCGGCTAACATCAATTGATCCATGATGAATCAATAAAAAATATTCATTGAACTCTTAAAACGATGGATAGTATTTTGGGATGTTATTCTTTTGCTAGAACGAAATATAATTTTGGGCGGAGCCAGTATTACACTTATGTAATCCAGAAAGTTTTGATTACCTGTTTACATACTGAAACTAATAATGAGCTACAATAATTCCATTGATGTAACAGGCAGTTGAAGCTACAATGAATGTAGAGCTTGGTAACAAGGAGTTAACAAAAGCCATTCAACGCAATAGCAGTAGCCGAACTTTTCTTCTGCTCTTTCTGTTTGTACTCACCTTTTCAATTCTTTTTCTTGATTGGTATAATTAGTTGGGTTACTCATATATTTATACTTATGTAAGGTTCTATTCCCATATTTTAAATTGCTTTAGTAATTGTATTCCTATGTAGCATCTTTGTGTTTGGGGCTTACAAAAATAAATACATATTTTTAATTATGCACATCTTTTGCAATAGTGGGCTTCAGTTCCAGTAACAAAATATGTTTCGTACTCCAGAAAAGTACCCGAACAAGAAAAATGCGTATTCTTCTATTATATATGTACTTTCCAATAATTGGTTCTGCTTTTGTAAATGACAAAAATGAGTTGCTGCTTTTCCACGCAACTGGTGGGGATGGAAAGGTGATCAAAGGGGTTATCTTCTGTGACAAAGACATTCCGGGAGCGGATGAGCATAAAAGTTCTCCTCCAGCTTAGGTGGTGACTGTCCTACCACTCTTGGGGTTGGTGCTCCTGTTCTATTCTTGTGCAAGTCTCTCAACTTTGTTGCAAACTCTTCCCAGGGTAATATCCCCTTCTCCATTTCATCCAAAAGCTTTATAATTTTTTTCCTGCAAAACAATATGAGATATCTCAGACAAAGAGAAAGTCTTTATCAAGAGATCATGCACTTCATTTGGGATGGGCCTCAAGGTATCTCATATGCAGAGGGGTAGATGTGAGTTTGGAATAGTAGTCTGTCTGTTAAAAAATATTTGAGGAAAATAGTGGTGATGGTGAGTCCTAGAATGCCATAATATTCCGATTCCCAAAGCATTACAGAATGTGTATTTTTTTTAATAAAAAATCAGCACAAAAATAGAAATGTGATAAAGTTTTTCCCAAAGCACGGAAACGAAAAATATCAAAATTGTGGGGTTTATATTTATTTCAAAGAGAGAAATTATAGAATCACGATTTAGTTTCCTTAAAAAAATTGATAATTTTGGGACCTACAAGAAAATGTGATGATTATTTAGGGACAAAAAGAGGAGTAGTCTTTAGTAATTTTGTTGTTTTATTTATTACTCCCCCGTCCCTATTGAAAGTTCTTATATTCCTTTTGAAATGTCCCTAAATAAAATCCTCTTACCTAAGTAAGAGTAAATGTGTAGCAACAAATATTGTCAAACAATACACTCTACTGACTTTGCTCGATTTTGTAGAGTGCCTGAGAGATTTAGTTTGAATATAAAATAATATCAAACAAAGAGTGAATTTATAATGAGAAAATAAGATAATTTTGGGACCATAAAAAAGGAACAGAAGAGTAATAATTTTTTTTAAAATATTTGGACATAAGTTGTCAAAAATATTTTAAGAGCTGTAAACACTCAAATAGCCACATTTTGTAACTTTTGAAAATTGAAGCATAGCTTATTTTATGGTTTGAAATGCATCTAGAAGTTGCAGCGTTTAGAGCTTTATAAAAGCTCTAAGCGCTTCAATTACTATCCCAAATAGAGCCCAAAAGATGAAAACATTAGACTCATGAATTAATGATGCTACGTACTTGTCAGGATTGATAGTTTTGCGGAAGCCTTCAAACATCCTATGTCCTCGCACAGCTTTCGCCATGTTCCCATCATATGTGTAAACAAACACATCACTCTCAACCGCGACAATGTAATCCAAGGCAGCTAGCTGGTTCTCCCTACCTGTAAAGTGCTTCAGCTCTTCTTCAGTTGCTAAGTTGGAATGAGAGTATACGTTTGGGTACTTCTCCAACAAAGCATTCATTCCGCTCTTCCCAAAGATGGTTCCAGAAACTGTATATATCTTTGTGTTGGATGGATACCCCATCGCCTCAAGGAAAAGGCTAGCCTCTCGCGGAGTTAAAGGGCATACCCCTTGGATCCGCCTCTCTGTTCCGTTTATCCGTTTCTCCTTCCAGTGTCTGGTTTTTTGCCTTAGCATCCGAAGCTCATCTGCTTCCTTTTTGGTAAGGTTGTGATTACACCCAGTGAAGGCTAGCATATCTTTTTCATACCTGCATTTCAGTTTCAGTTCTGCTTAGGGATAATGCTTTTAACTCTATCTAAGGCTCTGTTGGTTTGTTGGAGAATTAGCTCAGCTTGCTTCTAGGATTTCCCCCCCTCCTGAAAATATTCCGTCCGGGAAATATTTTACTAGAATAATTGTCCTGTTTTTTTTGTACTACAGACTATATTTCTAGAAGTGTTTCCCCTTCATTTGGATCATGAAACATGTTCATGATTTTTTTCCCCTTGTTTTGGTATCATAAAATAGTTTTCTAAATGAAAGTAGTTATATTTCTGTGGTTTTTAGAAATTTTGTGAACGACCCTCCTCTTTGAATAGGATAAGTCATTTTCGTGAAAGAGCTTCATGGTTTTTGTCTTTGTGAGTCAAACATTATGTAATTTATGTGCATATTTGAATTTTGAAACATGAAACATTTGCATGTTTCGGTATCAAGTACATTTTTCTAAGAAAATAGTTGTATTTCTGTGTTTCTTAGAACTTTTCTGGAAGGTGCCTTCCTGTTCTGATTATGACCGAGTCATTTTCATGGAAGAGTTTCATGTTTCTTGTTTTGTTTTTGCTGGTAAAAAATTATGTGCATGTTTGGTAGTGATGATTTGACTGAAAAGGGGTGAATTTTCCCAAAAGGAGATACATGTGGTATAGTTGATCTAAGCCAAAATAAGTAAACTCAAGGTTACTTATTCTCCTTTATTCTAATGAATAAGCATAATAACTTATTGGTGTTACCAATAAGGGTCTATATAATACATTGAAGAGCTGAGTTTTGGAGAAATGTTTTTACTAGAGAACTTATTCCTATAGTCAAATGGATCCTTACTTTCTTAGTTGTCTTGTGAAGTGTTTTGCTTCAGGAGAATGTTATTCAGGTTCCAAATACATAAAAACTACAGAACATTCCCAGGAAGAATATTTTCCTGGAACCAAACAGAATCTGAGCCTGCATTAGTTATACAGAGTATATCTTTAGCTAATACTTCGTACTACGTAATTATACCTCAAGTGCAGTGCAATATATGGATCTCCATTTTCTTTGAGTCTGCTGACTAACTTCTTTGCAAGTGTTTCAATTCTATCTGCAAAACGTAGTGCTTCATACATAGCATGGCATCTCAGTTTTTGGATTGAGTCTGGGATTCCATTGTTGGCTAGGCGGGAATCGGAGTGAGTGAATTCTATCACTTTGTGTTTCTTTAATAGTTTGAGAATGTCTTTGGTGTAGTAACTGGGCTGCACATAAAAAAACAATTTTGACCACATATCTCAATTACTCCATATGTTCTTAAAAAGGGTCTTGTTTCAATATGAAACTAAGTGTTCCAAACATGCTTGATTTATGCTACATTTAGTTTGACCAACAGAATATTTGAAAATATGAGTAGGGCCTCAAATTTGTTTCCACATTAACAAATATACAACCATTAGTTAAACACTCTTCTTTTTATTGTACAAGAATAGGATCGTCGTCGTCATCACTTCAATTAGCAGGGTACTAGGATTTAGTAAAATGAAAATTTAGTTTTAGTAAATTATTTAGCGGTATACATTCATGTGAAAATATAGAAACCACAAGCTTGCACGGCCAATGCCCATCTCGCAAAACCCTTCCAATTCTAGAATTATGGTCACCATGAGTTATTCCTAGTTGCAGAATTGTCTTCGCATCATTTATTTTAGTCATATATAGTAATTAGGTAAACAAACTAGACCAGAATATATTTGAAAAGACTCAAACCAGTTTTGAATAGTAATTAGGTACATAACAGAACCATACTAGTTAGAACAAACTAGAATAGACCAATTCAGATCAAGCCAGGTCAATAAGTTTCAAACAGCCCAACAGGTCATAAGTGTTAGTGTGGATGCAAGATTGATCTTGATAAGAATAATGTTATTTGATCAACAACTATGCTATTTCTTGTGTTCCTAAAAACCTCAAATATACTTCAATATTCTCAACCCAATCTGATCCTAAAATATAGATAAAAGTGGTGTGAGAACTTGCCTTTGACCAAGAAACCGGAATTTTCTTTAGTGGCTTAACATCAGCAAGATGGGAAGGAAGGGCTTCTACAACCTGAATATCATCTCCCAACGATTTTATGAAGTGTTGCCAGTTAAAGATATCTTTGAATTCACTGAGAACAATTCACTACAATATGTCAGAAGTTTGTACTCTAAACGAACCAATTTAGGGCTAAAGTGCAGATAGGTCTTAGATTAGATGAAAATGAACTCGAAACAAAATTATTAACATTTATTTTAGAAAAAAAAAAATAAGTCGTGTTTTGTACTACGTAATATACTCGGGACAGAGCCGCAGAGGTAGAATTGAAACTTACTCGTGGCCTCGTTGGGGGCTCATACCTTTTGATTCTATGGTCCAAAGGGAAAATTTAAAAAGAAATACTAGACTTAACCTCCTTGGCTCCTTCCTAAAAACAATTTGATATTACTTTTCATATGTGAACTTCACAAAATGAAGTTCTCATCCCATTTCAACACAAATAGATAATAACAGGCACCATTGCTCTTGTTTTTTTTGCTTGACTCTATAATCTATATACAATGAGTGTCTATGAGAATTGAAAATTTGTGTCCCTCTCAAATTGGGAATTTGTTTTTGTGACGGTGGGAGTACATTCCTTTTCGCGGGAACATTCGGTACATGTGCTGGGCCAAAAAGAGAATCTGGGACATCCACAATTCAAGTGTGAATAGATCAAGTTTGGGAAAAAATGTATCCTTTGACAGGAGTGTGTACCTGGGGTCAGTCCAAAAGGATTTGTGATCCAAAAAAGGAAGTACCAATGTAGCATCCATTAATTTAGCTATAGCTACCATATCACTTATCTGTAATGATATAAAAGTGTCAGAAGCTTTACTACAATTTGGAATTAAGTGTGTTTAAAATGCATACATTTATCTACATGATATTAATTACCCCAGTTTTCATTTGATTAAGTCCACCGTTTGCATGGACAATGATGTACCCGTTGCTGCTATTTTGGAGCCCTGCGGTAAAATGGTAGAAATGAATCAAATTAAAGGTGTCTCTAAAATTGTATTAAAGGTTTTTCCTTATAATTTGTGGTGTGGTTTTTTCCCATTCACCCCACTAATTAAGGCACCAACTATTACTTTAAGAGTCCATTTGGTAAGCTTAATTGCATAAGTTAGACTGAATTCTGACTGAAAAATTATATTTAAATTGTATTTTACTAGTAGCATAAAGAAAAATTATATAAAAATTACTCGTATATAAAAACACTAAAATACTCCGTAGTACTCTTCGGCAAATTTAGTCAATTAAACCAGTAAACTAACATTTAAATTAACATCAATATGGAATTCAGCACTTAAAATCCAAAGTTGAGTATTCCGTAAAATAATTGGCTGATTACCAAATGGACTTGAGAATAAGCATAATCATTTTTGTAATTAGCAAAACAAAAAAAAATCTAAATTAGCATGATGGTCCGGTTAATCAAACCATTCACCGTACCTGTTTCTCTTGGTCGATCAATGCACTTGGTGTAGCTGTCGCTATTATGCTTTCCCCAGATTTCGGTACCGTTAAACTGCACATTTAAAAGAATGTAATTATTACGTAAATATATTGCAAAGCAAACAGATTTAACCCAAATTTATACGTAGTAATTAATCAAAAACAATATCACTACTACTTAGAAAGAACCACGAATACTACGTATATTATACTCCGTATATTATACTCCGTATACAACTATATATCTATAATTAATGTTTTTATACTTTGAGTTCATTTACACCAAAATTAAAGTATTTTTCAATGTGCATGCTGTGACCAAATGTTAAATTGATAAAAAAGATGATGGCATATGCAAGATTGAGCCATGACTTTCATGATTTTTGAAAGTGCATCGTTTGAAGCAAATTTATAATACAAATACTAACTACCGTATTGGATAATTACATGTAACAAATATATAATAATATTATATTAATATTATGCTACAATAGCTTTCATATATACTTTAGGTTTATTTACACAAAAATTAAAGTATTTTTGCAGTGTAGTTTAATTTTCATGTTTACTTCTACGGTTATGTTTTGCTATTAAGGCTGTTATTATATTATTATATTAAGAGAGTGAACTCTAGTTTTCTGTTTTCATGTCAATACATATATACGGAATATGGAGTTTATATATATACTCCGTATATGTTATCCAAGATCAAGTTCCACTTGAATTGGCCATGATAATTAAATGGGGACAAATTAATTAAAAGATAACACTTTCAGATAGGTTTACAAAAAGGTTAAAATTGAACAAAATATTTTAGATTAGATTTAGATATAATGATGCATAATACACACAATATCATACTTTATCTGAGAGATCAATTAATCAGATATGTTTAAACATGAATAATCTTAAACACACTTTAAAAGTTCAATCCTAGAAAGAAAAAAACATTGTGATTCGTGGCATGTATAAGATAAAGATAAGAAATTAAAAGAATTTATCTCAACTAGTTCAGCTTAATTATTACGATAATAAGATCAAAGAGCGTACTAAAAGTAGAACACAAATGAGTTTTCCACGTAATTATTAAAGCAGATCAGATGAATTTAAATTACTAACATGTTTAGAGTCCCGGGCATGCATGGCGTCGCCACCCCCCACCACGACGGACGGCCGCCGAGACGACGGCAGCTGCAAGAAGTCACGGGGGCTCATCATAGCATGGACCTGAAGAAATCTATGCATGAGCATCATCTTCCCCAGAACCGTGAAAACCGCCACAAACGTCAAAGCTCCGAGAACCCACCGGCTAAGGTTCTTCCCCGGCCGCACCACCTTCCTCGTAATCTGAGTTAATCTCAAACACATTCTCAACATGATTCTCCACAACGCGAAAATCCCAACCGTCGGAATCATGTTACCGGCGTAGGGCTCCACCGGCGGCGCCCTACGCCTGGTCTTGTTGACGGCGGATGGTGGCAGTGGAGGCTTGCCGCCGCGGGGTCCGTGTGACATCTCAAACGGCCGCGGCGGGGAGGGTTGATGAGAATGGATGGAGGAATGGAAGAAAGTGGTTAAGGGGAGATGGAGCGAGCCATGCATTGTCCACGTACTCTATATTGCCCGGTTTTTTGGGAGTTGGTTAATAGTTATCCGACTTGTGAGGCAGAAACCACGTTCTTTTTTCAAGTCTTCTTCTCCTCCTAAAGAACGGTGTCTGATAAGAGCCATGGTCTGAGGGGATTTCTTGTTCCGATCCAAGTCTAATTTGATTGGTCTAGCCTTCTAATTTAGTCTTTCATTTGGTCTCTAAGTACTATGTTCTCAATTAAACGTAGTATGACTAGTACTCCGTAACATGCATAATTGCATATATATGCATCTTATGAATATTTTTATGAAGAGTACTAATCTTGTCTAGCCGGATGGACAAGATTAGTACCTTTTAATTGCAACAGTCAACATTTCATGTTTGTCAATGCACAAGTTTGACCATTAATATCTTTCATTCCCTATTAGTAAAAAATTTAAAAAAGTTCATATTTTGTAAAAGGAATTTTATCAATTCAGGACCCGAAAGATAGATTAATTATCAATTTAGGACCCGAAAAATAAAACGTATCGGTATAGAACCCGAATGATGGAAAAGTATCAATTTAGGACCTAACGTTTCATAGGTTTTGATTTATTTACTTTTTTATTAATTCAATTGCTAATTTTTTATATACTTTTCTTCACAAAAGTTTATTAGTTTAATAAAACTAAATAATATTTAAAATTTAAAAAAAAAAATTATGACAACTTAGGTCCTAGTTTTCAATCATTCAGGTCCTAAATTGATACTTTTCCATCATTCAGGTCCTATATCGATGCATTTCATCTTTCAGATCCCGGATTGATAATGCGTCTATCTTTCGGGTCCTAAATTGATAAAATTCCTTTGAAAATTTAGAATGAGAAGAATTTATCAATATTTTTTAAAAAATTAATTTATACTCCGTAATACATTAATTAATAAAGTATAGTCAAAATAGAATATGTGAATAATACAAAAAATCACGTGTGGACTCAACAAATGAAACAGTAAAGAAAGTTGGAGCGAAGTTATGCAGTAAATATTTTTTTAGAATGTTTTTAGGGACTAAACTTGTAAAGTATTCACATTTTTGTTTTTTGAAATACTTGACACGTTCAGACCATTCAAAAAATAGTTTAAAATGATAGTTTTTTTTTGTTGGAAAACTAGCTAGACAGTTAGGTACAGAACATGCTCAACTTTATTTTGTATTTCAACATTTTGTCATTAGTACAAAACACTTCATTATACTGAAGACATAGCTTAATACACATCTGATCTGATCTTCTTCCATTGCCTCTTAGCTTAGGGTTCCCCCTAGTGACTAACTCGACTGAGACCTCATAGGAAGCAGAAAGTGTCCGTTTGTTATAACGTAAAGTAAACACTTTACGTCTAAAGCGTGTGAATGTAAACATTTTACACCGTTCATTTTAATTGTTTAATGTAAATTGTATGACACTTTTAAAAAATACTACTTATTTTATACTGCATGATGTAAAATATTTTATACTGATAATAAACATAAAGTATATGCGTAGTTGATTTTATACCGTAAAATATGTTTGCGTTGCTCTGCACTCTTCTTCATATGCGGTGCACTTTTTTGCTATGAGTACCCCAAAATGTATCTCATTTTTAACTCAACCCCTAATGTGTGGTCATAAATGGGCCAATTCATTTAAGTGGTGCCCCACTTAAATGAATTGCTCCATTTATGGCCACACATTAGGGTGTGAGGGTAAAAATGGGATACATTTTGGGGTACCTTTAGCATTTGTGACGTGTTTTATCCCAAATTCTCATCATCTCATGCATGTGTCGCATCATACATACTACATAGTATACATACTCCGTATATAAATACTCCGTATACATTTTGGTATCTGACCTCTTAAATGAATCAAAACGGTACCTTAACTATAAATAAATGTTTCGAATTGAGTTTTTTTTCCAAATTTTTGATCAAAAAATCATTCATTACGATCAAAATTCTATGTGTAGAGTCACCCTATAGTGATCATATGGACAAAAACAAGGTGAAATAGGTTTTATGCATAGAATTCTGGCCGCCACGTGCACTAGTGGAAAAACGTCAATTAGAGGCGCTTTTTACAGAAAGCACCTCGATTTTTGAAAAAAAAAATGAATTTTCTGAGACGTGCGGCGCTTTTTGGTATATAAGCGCCTCTGATACGTAATTCGTATTTATTTTCGATTTACAAATACGAAACGTGCGGCACTTGTAGTTAGAGAAGCGCCTCTGCACCCGTTCGCCACTTTGTTCTCAACTCTTCTCACCTCCTGGGCGAGACAAGCTACCTTTAGCTAGGACCTATTTAAAAAAACGTGCGGCGCTTTACAATTAAAAGCGTCTGGAAGTTAATTTTAACCTAGCTAGCAGCTCCTCGATCGATCAGGCGCCCGACAAAGGAAAAGACAGAGGTGCTGTATTGAAGTTATTTGTGCATCCGCCGTCCGCAGCAGGGCCTACATCCACGACATCTACATCCACAGATTGAGTAAAGAGACTCGGCGATAGATCTATAACCCGTCGTCCGCAGTAGGGCCGTCCGCCGTCCGCAGCAGGCCATCCGCCGTCCGCAGCAAGCCGTCCGCAGCAGGCCGTCCGCCGTTGATGACGAGGTCCGCCGTCTGCAGCACTTCCGACGACGAGGTCCGCCGTCTGCAGCACTTTCGACAACGATGTCCACGCCACCTACCTGCCACGACATCGGCCCTGTCACCTCCTACCGCTGCTCTGCCACCGTTGGGGACTCCGATTTTGGACATTGTCACCGGCAGAATCGTAAACTAGGTCACCAACTTAATCTTTAAATTCTCTGTTGTCAATAATTTCATTTTTGTTTTGTTTTAGGGCTAAATAATATTCTGATTTTGTGTTATATTGGCAATAAATTTATATTATTGTAGGACTAATTTTTCATTATTTTAATATGAATATTTATTTTATTTTATACTAATTCTATGCTAAAAAAAATTACTTTTATATACTCAAACTCATACTTTCAAAAAAAAATCACGAGTTGATGAGCCTTGTGGCTCATAATTTTCAGAATGTGACGGAGGTAGTACCAAATAGAAAAATTAGTACATGAGTTGATGAGCCGTGTGGAACATTTGAAAAGGATTGCGGGATGAGGAGAAAGAAGCGTTGCACGCCCAACGGGAAAAAAAATATTGGAGGCACTTTTTGCAGAGAAACACGTCTAAAAACACGTTGCAGCACTATTCATTAGAGGCGCCATAAAGCGTCGCACGTGTAAAAAAAGCGCCTCTGAATGGCGTTTTTGCACCTGTGGTATGATTTTTTTTGTCAGAAATTTGAGTAAAATCTCAATTCGAAACATTTATGTATAGTTAAGGTACCATTTTGGTTCATTTAAGAGTTAAGGTACCAAAATGCAACATTACCAATCGTTAAGGTACCATTTATGCATTTGACCCGATAGAATATAAATGGATTGAAGGTGGGAGTGCATATGGGTGATGGGGAAGGCCGATAAGTGTAGTAAATATGGAAAATAAATGATACTCTTTCTGTCCCGAATTGTAAGAAACTTTACGGTTTACGATATTTGACCGACGATAAAGAAAACGTATTTCTATCCGCACTCAAATTATTTTTAGAAAAAAAGAATTACATATTCAGAAACTACATTAAAAGCTTTACAAAGTCGCAAAAAACAGAATCAAATTTGATAAAAGTTTGATATACTCCATATAAAGTAAGAGATTAAGAGTGATTTGTGTTAAGGATTAATAGGAAAACTATCTTATAAAATGGAAATGAGAGAGTAGTATGTAGAAAGGTAGGTAAATCTGTGAATGTATTTCTATTTTATTACTAAAAATGATAGTGGGCTTTTTAAGGGACAGCCGAAAAAAAAGCAAATAAATGCAAATAGTTTATTTAGGGATGGAGAGAGTTTTTGGTTATTTGATAAGGAACATTATTCATATAATTTTTCTTAATTTTTTTTATTCCAAAAAGAAATCTTTTATTACAATTACTGTCACGCCCCGGACACGTCAACAACCCGCCGTACAGTACGAATAGTCAACCGCAGTCCGACTCATTCATACTATACAAGGCGTCTTGAATACCATTCACACATAGTACTTCCATAAACAAACATAATGTAAAACATTTATTAAAGATGCGGAAACAATTGATACAAGTGTCCAAGCCACAATTGGCATATTTAGGCATGCAAGCCCCCAAAGTAATTATTCAGAAAATATTATCCATGAGCATTATTCATTTTGTTTTGTCAAAACGAGAACGGGAGAAGCACGAACCAAGTCTTCTCCTCAGAAACTTCCCGAAGCAGCGACTGGTGGTAGCAACCTTCAAGTTCTACCTGAAACTCTGAGGTGGCCTCCCCCGTGAAGGGGAGGTCAGTACTTGGAAGCATTTGACAAGTACAATGACAACTATACTAAGTATAATCAAAGTTTAAATCTCTGAGGCCCTCAAACTAGAGCATTATTACATTATAGTTAATCCGTTCATTTAGTATCAATTCATCATTATTTACCACGGTCTAGAGCCCAGCTCATAATCACCGTTATCTACTACGGTCTAGAGCCCAGCTCATAATCACCGTCACCTACTACGGTCTAGAGCCCAGCTCATAATCACCGTCATCTACTACGGTCTAGAGCCCAGCTCATAATCACCGTCATCTACTACGGTCTAGAGCCCAGCTCATAATCACCGTTATCTACATCGGTCTTGAGCCCGGCTCATAATCACCGATTCTTTATAATTCTAATTCTTAGGATCTAATTCATCCATTCCTCAACTAACATTTCCAACTAATGTTTCAATGCTAGTTATTTATTTATTTCAATATAATTCTTTCTTCTTGCCCAAATGGGCCTTAATATCAAGTATCATTTTCATACACTCATAGCTTCTCCTCATGGCATCAAAGTATACTATCTCAAATAATATTCATGGTTGGTACAACCATCATACACACATATTCATAGCATCTAAACATACACAATTTATTCATAAATTTGTGTATCATGCATACCATACTTATAATCAATAGTAGTTTCATTTAGGCATTATTAACCATTAACAACTCATACACATCACATTTGTATTCACTTAGGAAATCCCATGAAATTAACCCAAAGATTATAAGTAACATAGTCGGTCATCCTCACCTTAATTAAGCTTAAGCGCGTTCTACGTTTCTTGATTGAACTTTGACCAACTCCGGCGAACTTTGACCAACTCCGGTGAACTTTGACCAACTCCGACGAAACTCCGGCGAGGCTCAAAAATACCCTAAATCAAGTTCCTAACAAGGTTTTATCATCACAAAACCCATATCAACACAAATAACCTATAAAAGGTTATTTTCCGGCAAACCGGTCGATTTGGCTTCTAAGTCCATTTTTGGACTTAGAATCACTTTCCAACCCATTATTCCACACTTAAATCATGTAGAACAATACTAAAGGCCTTTCATATGATATATATCTTATATGCTAGAAGAAAAACAAAGGAAAAGTTATGATAAGGTCATTACCTTAATTTTCACACTTTTTCCTAGCTTTTTCCTTCTTAAACTTCCTTCTTGGACTCCCTTGAGCTTGAGTTCGGATTTGGGCTATGGAGATGAGAAGTTTCAGAGCCTCTCCTTGCTATCCTAGGGTGCTGAATTGTGTGGGTGGAGATGGTGAGGTGAGGGGGTGGTTTTTGTCTCATTTAGACAAATGAGTGAAGGGAGGGGGGTCTACTACATGTCAAAGGTGTCTCCCCCATCCTCTCAATTGTTGTTCAGCCAATTTGGCACTCATCCAGCCCTCAAGGGTTGAAAATTTCGTGGGGTGGCCCCACCCATGTGGGAGGTCATCCCAATTTGTCCCAAAGTGTGCAATTTGCCCTGAAAGTTGTATTTTCCGGACTGTTTTTAAGTATATTTTATTTTATCGGGTCAAATAAAATATAACACTTGTTCCCAATTCTTAATGGACCTTAGAATCAATATGCATCCCTCAACTTTAATTTAGAAGTCTACGAGATCCCTTTTCGGGCTGTTATCTGATAGATTTCCGATACTGATAATTTGGCCCCGTTTGACCAACCGGTCAACCTTATGCCATTGTCATGGCTCAACTAGGATATCCACCACCATATACATATTATCTAGTCAAAGATCAATATAATATGTGGCCCCGATAATATCGGGCGGTCCCCACTCCCGATGTGGGCCCCACGTGCAATTTACTATTCACGCGAAAAAAAATATTATACAAATTCACAACTTCGTAAATTCACTAAAAACTTCATAAGGTTCAATAAATTGTTCGCTTAAAGGTAAATACATTTGGGGACGGTGTTACAAGTTCACCCCCCCTTATTTGGGATTTCGTCCCCGAAATCCACGTGTCTAATCGAAAAGGAAAGGGTACTGCTCCCTCATTGAGACCTCAGTCTCCCAGGTTTCTTCTTCGACTCGATCACTCCTCCAAAGGACCTTTACCATAGGAATCTCCTTGTTCCTTAGTTTCTTTACCTGTTGACCCACAATCTTCACCGGTTCCACCGCATATTGTAGGTCTTCACGTATCTCTACCGGTGGTTTCTCAAGGATATGAGACGGATCTCGCACATATTTCTTGAGCATCGATACATGAAACACGTCGTGTATCTTCTCAAGTTCTGGCGTCAATTTGATACGGTAAGCCACGGCCCCTATCCTTTCAAGGATTTCAAATGGGCCAATGTATCGGGGGTTAAGTTTTCCCCTCGATATAAACCTGATGATACCTTTCCAAGGAGAAATCCTTAGAAAGACCTTATCACCGACCTCAAACTCCAATGGCCTGCGTCGTTTGTCAGCATAACTCTTTTGCCGATCTTGGGCAGCCTTGAGTCTATCCTGAATGACTTTCACCTTAACCTTGGTGATTTTGACAAGTTCAATCCCCTCGAGCTTGGTTTCGCCAACCTCGTCCCAACACAACGGTGTTCTACATTTCCTCCCATACAATGCCTCGTATGGAGGCATGCCAATACTCGCCTGATAACTGTTGTTATAGGCAAACTCAACCAGAGCCAAATGCTTGTCCCAACTCCCTTGGAACTCCAGAGCACATGCCCTAAGCATATCTTCCAGAATCTGTATCACCCTCTCGGATTGCCCATCCGTCTGTGGGTGAAAGGCTGTGCTAAACTTTAGCTTCGTACCCAAGGATGCTTGAAATTTTGGCCAAAATCGGGATGTGAAACGTGGGTCCCTATCCGAGACAATGGATATCGGAACTCCATGCAGTCTCACAATCTCCTCCGTGTATAGCTTTGCCAATCTTTCAAGAGGATAAGTAATGTTGATAGGCAAAAAGTGTGCACTCTTGGTGAGCCTATCAACCACTACCCATACTGCGTCATAGTTGTTCACTGTTCGTGGCAGCCCCACCACGAAGTCCATGGTCACGTGCTCCCACTTCCATTCTGGAATGGTAAGTGGTTGCAAAAGTCCCGCCGGGTGTTGATGCTCCGCCTTGACTTGTTGGCAAGTAAGGCACCGACTTACGTACTCTGCGATGTCCCTCTTCATACCCGACCACCAGTAACTTTCCTTCAAGTCTCGGTACATTTTAGTACCTCCTGGATGCATGGCATACGCCGAAGAATGAGCCTCCTCCAGTATAGACTTTTGGAGCTCCTCATTCCTTGGTATGCATATGCGGCCTTTAAACAATAAAAGACCGTCATCACGTACCCGAAAGTTCTCAACAGGTCCCTCAAGGATCTGTTCACGGATCTTCTGACATTCTTCATCAGTGGCCTGACATCTACTGATCTCACTCAGCAATGTAGGCCTAACCTCGAATCTAGCAATGAGGACCCCACTCGTGGACACCTCCACTTGTGCCCTTAATGAGCGTAGACACGCGAGTAACGTCCCCGATGTACTCTTTCTGCTCAGTGCATCAGCTACTACATTGGCCTTCCCGGGATGATAGTCGATGATCAAATCATAGTCCTTGATCAACTCCATCCATCTCCTTTGTCTCATATTCAACTCTTTTTGAGTGAATACATACTTCAAGCTTTTATGATCGGTGAAAATGTGACATGTCTCCCCATAGAGATAATGCCGCCAAATCTTCAGTGCAAACACTACCGCTCCCAACTCTAGGTCGTGGGTAGGGTAGTTTGCCTCGTGTTTCTTCAATTGCCTTGAAGCGTAGGCAATCACCCGACCGTTTTGCATTAGAACACATCCAAGCCCTTGGATGCTAGCGTCACTGTATATGTCGTACCCTATCCCTTGTGTGGGTAGAGTGAGGACTGGTGCTTCTGTAAGCCGTTTCTTTAGTTCGAGAAACCCTTTCTCACAATTGTCGTCCCATATGAACTTGGCCCCTTTCTTTGTGAGCTTTGTCAAAGGAGACGCCAATACAGAAAATTTTTCAACAAACTTACGATAATATCCTGCTAAGCCGAGGAAGCTACGTATTTCTTTCACGTTTTTGGGTCTCTCCCAATTCATAATGGCTTCTATCTTGGCTTTATCCACCGCAATGCCCGAACCTGACACGACATGCCCGAGGAACCCGATCTCTTTGAGCCAAAACTCGCATTTAGAGAACTTGGCAAAGAGTTGTTTTTCCCTTAGCCGTTCAAGTACAAGTCTCAAATGATCTTCATGCTCCCCCTCACTCTTGGAGTATATCAAAATATCGTCAATGAATACTATCACGAATTGATCTAAGTATTCACTGAACACACGGTTCATCATGTCCATGAATGCCGCCGGGGCGTTGGTTAGCCCGAGCGACATAACTAGGAACTCGAAATGACCATACCTTGTGCGGAAAGCACTCTTCGGTGTGTCATCTTCCTTTATTTTCAGTTGGTGGTACCCCGACCTCAAGTCAATCTTCGAAAACAGCGTCGCTCCTCGGAGCTGATCAAACAAGTCATCAATTATAGGCAAGGGATACCTATTCTTGATTGTGACCTTGTTCAGTTGACGATAGTCAATGCACATTCGAAGTGTTCCATCTTTCTTTTTCACGAAAAGGACCGGTGCTCCCCACGGAGAGTGACTCGGCCTTATGAAACCGTTATCCAATAGCTCTTGCAATTGGGTTTTCAACTCGTTAAGTTCAGCGGGTGCCATTCTGTATGGCGGTATAGAGATCGGTTTGGTGCCGGGTTCGACCTCGATCACGAACTCAATCTCCCTATCGGGTGGAAGTCCCGGCAAGTCTTTTGGGAAGACATCCGGATACTTGCACACAACTCTCACATCATTGATGTCTATCTCTTCTTTGGTTTTGTCCACCACATACGCTAGGTATGCGTGACACCCCTTTCTCATCATATTCCTTGCTCTCACGGCGGATATGATACAACAGTTTGATTTGCCTCTATCTCCCTCGAAGCGTAAGGTCAACCCTTCGCCGCCTTCGAGTTCAAGAACCTTCGTGTAGCAATCGACCCTAGCATGATGTTTCTCAAGCCAATCCATCCCGAGGATTGCATCAAACTCGATCATACTCAGCGGTACGAAATCACACGTCAAGTTCTGTCCCTCCACCTCCACCTCACACGATGGATAGTGGCTTTCTCTCTCGATATCATCCCCTAGAGGCGTGGACACCAATAGGGTTTGAGTCATCGGTACAAGTGGTCCGTTGAATCCGCTGGCGAACGCCTCACTCACAAATGATCGTTGCGCCCCGGTATCAATAAGGATCCTTGCTTCTCTCCCGTTTATCTTTAGTGTTCCTACATTCATAAGTAATGTAAGACACACTATCTAATAAATAGGTTCGTTTCTTAAGTCGTAGAGTATGTTGGTTGTGTTTCGGGTGGGGTCCGTTCGATACCCTTCCGAAATTTCCCGGTTTCTAACCTTTAGGACCGTTTTAGGATCAATCCGGGTGAAAGCCGGCCGCTTTTCACGAAAGCCGGCCGGTTTTCGACTGCGAGAAAAATTTCTAAGTATTTAATCACGAAAGCCGGGCGGCTTTTACGAAAGCCGGGCGGTTTTCGTCGCCGTAGTTTTTATTCAGGGAGTGGTTTCGAAGCCGGCCGGTTTATACGAAACCCGGCCGGGTTTCAGCAGCGCAGGAATCCCAGGCTTAACGAAAGCCGGGCGGCTTCCATGAACGTCGGGCGGCTTTCAGCTGCGAGAAATTTTCCAGGTGAGGTGTTTACGAAAGCCGGCCGGTTTTCACCAAAAGCCGGCCGGTTTTTGGTTGCGAGAATTTTCTTTGATTCAGTCTTGACGAAAGCCGGGAGGCTTTTGAAGCCGGCCGCCATTCGTTGCCGTAGTATTATCCCAATTAAATCAAGACGAAAGCCGGGCGGCTTTCGTCAAAGCCGGGCGGTTTTCACCCAGGGCGAGGATTCTCCTCCCCTTTTTCCCTTCAAACCCGACTAGACTCGTCGGGGTTTTAATTTTACAAGTTCCACACTCCTATTGTTTACGAAAATTAATACGCGAGTTTAAGGAATTACCCGCAACGGAGTCCGGGTTGGCACGTGCATCCGCCTCCGTCATAGCATAAACTCTAGCTTGAGTTCTTCCTTGATTCACGGACGGCGCATTGCTCGTGTTGGCTCCCCCCTGGCCCACGCTAGCATGAGATGCTCCGGCCCGGTTCCTACTTGCCGTGGTAACGCCGCTTGGTCCTGACCCCCGGTTCCCACCAAGTTGAGGGCAGTTTGGCTTAATGTGCCCTGTACTCCCGCATTGGTAGCACCGTGGTGGATCCCGACACTTACCGGTGTGGTTCCTGTTGCAATTCCTGCACCTGGGCGTCCTTGGGGCTTGTGAGCCCGAGTAGTGCCCGCTCGTGGCCGGGTTTCCCTTGGATGGTGCTGCCGGTGCCCTGAACGATCCACCTCCCCCATGGTTCCCCTTCTTGTTGGGACCTTGGGGGCCATGGCTTTCCCACTTTCTTTTCTTAGACTCTTCGGCATCTCTCTTCTTCCTCTCCTCCCATTGCTTTTCTCCCTTCAACCCTTGGGCAACCACTTGGCTGAAAGTCATATTGGGCAATTGAGTTGCCCTGTCACGTATCTCCAAGTCCAAGGCCTCCCAAAAATGATTCACCATTCGGTTTTCATCACAAGCATACTCCGGTATGTGATCAGCAAGGTCTCTGAACTTGTTCTCAAGTTCTTTCACCGTCATGTTACCACCTTGGGTTAGGAGAGTGTATTCCCTCACCTTGGCGTTTACTTCGAAGTCAGAGTAGTACTGGGCAAAAAATTCTTGTCGAAAATCCTCCCATGTAACAGTTCCGCCATACTTACCCTTGGTCCCATCCCACCATTTGGATGCCAACCCTTCGAGTAACCTTACCGCGATTCTCAGTTTAAAATCGGGGGTGAGCTGCATGTCAAGGGCTGCCTCGTTCAGCCTCTTGATCCACTGGGCGGCAACCGAGATGTCTCCCGTCCCATCGAACGGTTTGCACCCTAAGTCCCTCGCCTCCTTGATGTATTTGGAGATCCTTATGGCTGGACCTCCATCGCCCCGACTCCCATGCGCTTCCACATGGGTTCTCGAATCGCAAAAGCTCCTCCCTCTTGGAGCCCCGCCCGAAGGTTGCCTTGCACGGTGCCTTCGGCGTGCCCTCCTTTCTTCGCGCTCCCGATGATACTGTTGGAGCAGCGCTTCGATTCTGGCCAAGGAGCCACTTTCCTCCTCATCACTCTCATCATCATCACTCCCTTCGTACGGGGTCTCAACTGGCTCAGTCCCCGACTGGTAGGTTGAGTCCTCATAGGACCAATAGGTCTCACTCTCGGTATCAACGTGGCCATCGCTCACGGTTTGACGCTGGCCTCCACGGCCCCTTCCTCTTGATCCCCTAGAGGACCCCCGGCTACCGCGCTCGGACCCACCCGGTGCACGGCCCAACGGGTTCCTTCTAGTGATCCTTCCAATTGGTTCCATTTCTGAAAGAAATTAGAATGAGTCGTTAGACTCGTATCGAGTGTCAAATGACGGACGGGTACTTAAAGACATCCTTCGGCTCAAATCACCGCCATACCAATTGTTAAGGGTACCATCTTAACAATCAGAGGCATTGCAACTCAAGTACCAAAGGTTCTATGAGTACAAAACTTATGCTCATGGTTTTTCAAATTCATTTTCAAAACGAAATTTTGAAGCTTCATTATGATGTTTACGGACTAAGGCTCTGATACCATTTAAATTGTCACGCCCCGGACCTACCCGGACACGTCAACAACCCGCCGTACAGTACGAATAGTCAACCGCAGTCCGACTCATCCATACTATACAAGGCGTCTTGAATACCATTCACACATAGTACATCCATAAACAAACATAATGTAAAACATTTATTAAAGCAGCGGAAACAATTGATACAAGTGTCCAAGCCACAATTGGCATAATTAGGCATGCAAGCCCCCAAAGTAATTATTCAGAAAATATTATCCATGAGCATTATTCATATTGTTTTGTCAAAACGAGAATGGGAGAAGCACGAACCAAGTCTTCTCCTCAGAAACTTCCCGAAGCAGCGGCTGGTGGTAGCAACCTTCAAGTTCTACCTGAAACTCTGAGGTGGCCTCCCCCGTGAAGGGGAGGTCAGTACTTGGAAGCATTTGACAAGTACAATGACAACTATACTAAGTATAATCAAAGTTTAAATCTCTGAGGCCCTCAAACTAGAGCATTATTACATTATAGTTAATCCGTTCATTTAGTATCAATTCATCATTATTTACCACGGTCTAGAGCCCAGCTCATAATCACCGTTATCTACTACGGTCTAGAGCCCAGCTCATAATCACCGTCACTACTACGGTCTAGAGCCCAGCTCATAATCACCGTCATCTACTACGGTCTAGAGCCCAACTCATAATCACCGTCATCTACTACGGTCTAGAGCCCAGCTCATAATCACCGTTATCTACATCGGTCTTGAGCCCGGCTCATAATCACCGATTCTTTATAATTCAAATTCTTAGGATCTAATTCATCCATTCCTCAACTAACATTTCCAACTAATGTTTCAATGCTAGTTATTTATTTATTTCAATATAATTCTTTCTTCTTGCCCAAATGGGCCTTAATATCAAGTATCATTTTCATACACTCATAGCTTCTCCTCGTGGCATCAAAGTATACTATCTCAAATAATATTCATGGTTGGTACAACCATCATACACACATATTCATAGCATCTAAACATACACAATTTATTCATAAATTTGTGTATCATGCATACTATACTTATAATCAATAGTAGTTTCATTTAGGCATTATTAACCATTAACAACTCATACACATCACATTTGTATTCACTTAGGAAATCCCATGAAATTAACCCAAAGATTATAAGTAACATAGTCGGTCATCCTCACCTTAATTAAGCTTAAGCGCGTTCTACATTTCTTGATTGAACTTTGACCAACTCCGGCGAACTTTGACCAACTCCGGCGAACTTTGACCAACTCCGACGAAACTCCGGCGAGGCTCAAAAATACCCTAAATCAAGTTCCTAACAAGGTTTTATCATCACAAAACCCATATCAACACAAATAACCTATAAAAGGTTATTTTCCGGCAAACCGGTCGATTTGGCTTCTAAGTCCGTTTTTGGACTTAGAATCACTTTCCAACCCATTATTCCACACTTAAATCATGTAGAACAATACTAAAGGCCTTTCATATGATATATATCTTATATGCTAGAAGAAAAACAAAGGAAAAGTTATGATAAGGTCATTACCTTAATTTTCACACTTTTTCCTAGCTTTTTCCTTCTTAAACTTCCTTCTTGGACTCCCTTGAGCTTGAGTTCGGATTTGGGCTATGGAGATGAGAAGTTTCAGAGCCTCTCCTTGCTATCCTAGGGTGCTGAATTGTGTGGGTGGAGATGGTGAGGTGAGGGGGTGGTTTTTGTCTCATTTAGACAAATGAGTGAAGGGAGGGGGGTCTACTACATGTCAAAGGTGTCTCCCCCATCCTCTCAATTGTTGTTCAGCCAATTTGGCACTCATCCAGCCCTCAAGGGTTGAAAATTTCGTGGGGTGGCCCCACCCATGTGGGAGGTCATCCCAATTTGTCCCAAAGTGTGCAATTTGCCCTGAAAGTTGTATTTTCCGGACTGTTTTTAAGTATATTTTATTTTATCGGGTCAAATAAAATATAACACTTGTTCCCAATTCTTAATGGACCTTAGAATCAATATGCATCCCTCAACTTTAATTTAGAAGTCTACGAGATCCCTTTTCGGGCTGTTATCTGATAGATTTCCGATACTGATAATTTGGCCCCGTTTGACCAACCGGTCAACCCTATGCCATTGTCATGGCTCAACTAGGATATCCACCACCATATACATATTATCTAGTCAAAGATCAATATAATATGTGGCCCCGATAATATCGGGCGGTCCCCACTCCCGATGTGGGCCCCACGTGCAATTTACTATTCACGCGAAAAAAAATATTATACAAATTCACAACTTCGTAAATTCACTAAAAACTTCATAAGGTTCAATAAATTGTTCGCTTAAAGGTAAATACATTTGGGGACGGTGTTACAATTACTATTGCTATTACTATTACTATTACCTACAAACACTATTTCTATTGTTATTGGTATTGCTATTGCTAGGGGTGGGAATATGCCAGGCGGCCTGTCAGGGGCCTGAGGCCTGGCCTGGTTAAGGCCTGGCCTGGCCTGTTTAGTAAACAAATTAGGTTTGGGGTTTTTTTTAAATATTTGTTTATATTAATAGGTCAGGCTTAGCCCGATTTTAAAGCCTATTTGGCCTGACAGGCCGGCTCGTTTACACTTATGGATTAGTATATATTTATACATACTACGTACTTCGTATTTGATACCTATTGGTTAACTAACCCTTTAAAATTGAATGCCCACTACCCCACTACTTTTCTAATGTTAAAGCATACGTTAATTCTTTGTACATAGAACACATAGCGTGGAAGCTTCGAGTCTTCAACCATGACTGCTCGTATTCACTTTCCATCTTTTATATTGAAATTTCTTTTATATTGACTTTCTTTTATATTAAAATTTTAATTTAAAGTTTGGTTGAGTTTTGGATTGTTATGGTTGAGTTTTGCATTTAATTTCTTTTAGTGTGCAGGTTGCCTTTATGTCATTGGTTTCTCCTTTAATTCACTTTAATTCACTTCATACTCTGTATTATTATTATTGTTTTATTGTCTCTGTTCAACAATAAAATCAAGATTTTATGCATATGGGAAATTGATACCAATTTTTACATACTTCAAAGAGTTTAGGATGGATACAACTAGAATTTTTATGGCCTAGAATCCTGGATACCAATTTGGTTGGCTATGTCTTTACTTGGTTAACAGGCTCGATAACAGGCTTCAGGCCAGGCCAGGCTTTCTAGCAGGCCAGGCTTAGGCCGAAAATTAGGCCTAAAACAGGTAAAAGGCCAGGCTTGGGCCTACACCTTTTAAAACAGACCCGACCTGTTTAGGCGAAAGCCTGGCCTCGCCTGACCTGTTTCCACCCCTAGTTATTGCTATTGCTGTCGCAATTAGCCGTCCCGCTGCCGCGCTGGAACGACAACTGCTGGTCCCTAAAATTGCCAGATCCAGCGGTCCCTCCATCCCCTCCATACAAAGAAAATTACATAATGTAATATGTTATACCCCCTGCGTCCCGAAAATTATTTCTCAAAGTTTGCCATCATTGACCAAGAAAAGTCAATTTTACAAACCTTTTCGGGACGGAGGTAGTATGTACTATTACTATTACTATTATTATTACTATTGTTGTTTTTATTGTTGTCGTTGCTATTATTGTAGTTATTAAAGTAATTGTCTTAAATAGGAGTAAAACATAGAAATCTTTCCTAAATAAGAGTTCACTCCTAATCTTTCCCAAACAGGACTAAACATTAATTTTCCTCCTATAATACCCCTAATCCAATTAATTGCCCCCTATAGTTTCCATGGACAAACGGAGCAGTCCGTTGATGGCGGGGCGGTCCATTGGTGGGGGCGGCGACCAGCGGCGGCGACGAAACTCCGACGTGGTGGCAACAGATTGCCTAGGGAAAAACTGGATTGCTTTGGACCTGCCGGCGCTCCGGCAGTGGTGGCCGACGGCCGACACGACAAGCGTGGCAGGCACGGCGGGAGGAATCTAATCGGTGGTCGGAATCAGGGTGGTTATGGCCAGAATCTGGGCGACGGCGGCAGAACTCTTGCGGCAGGTGGGATGTGACGGCCGGAGTCAAGAGGTGGCAGCTGGCAAGGATAGTGGTGCAAGGGCATTTCTATCCAGTTACAACAAAAACTCCTATTTGGGGAATTTTTTAAAGGGAAAAGTATAAATATACCCATGTAGTATGAGCGTGAGAACAAATATACACCCGTACTATTTTTTGGTTTTTTGGAACAAATATACCCCTGGAGTATATGATGAAGTGCCTGCATACCATGAACTTTTAAAAAGTGCACACAAACCCCTCATGTTCTTAAAAAGGAGCAAATTTACACTTATTGATTTTAAATAGATAAAATAAATTTCATTATAAAGATTTATTATTATGTTAAAATATTAACTCTTTAATTTTAAATATCTATACTAATGTTTTTCTACTCCCTCCGTCCCTTAAAACTTTGCCATCTTTACTTTTTGGGACGTCCCAGAAAACTTTGCCACTTTCCATTTTAATCAATTATTTTGTGGTTTCTGTTATTTCTCTCTCCTCTGCACAAACCTCAACCACACAGTATTTACTTTATTATTCTCCGTGCCGGACAACTTTGACAAAGTTTTAAGGGACGGAGGTAGTATTATAAACGAAGAACTTCAAATTCATAAATATTAATTTTAGTCTTGTGGCAAAATTTTGAACACATTGTTAATTTTTTTAAATAACACTCTTTGATTTTGTTTAACCTTAATAAAATTAAATTCACTATTTTGTAATCTTGAATGATTTATTATCATACAAAATATGTAATTTATAGTGTAAAGAATGAAACAAAATATTTTTTTATATTGCAACACATATGTTAATTATCACTTTTTTGAAAGAATCTAAAACATACAGTACAATTTTGAAATAATATTTTACACTAACAGTATTAAGTTGTGATATAAAAACAATAAAAAGGGAGAAGCATTGGACACAAGTACACTTTTATAAATTTTTATTTTTAATTTTAAATTTATTATTAATTTTTGGTATTTTTTTTTGAAATTTGTTTTGTAAATTTACTCTTTTATAAGAACATGAGAGATATTTTTGCACTTTTGAAAGTTGAGTGGTATATATGTACTTCGACATATATTACAAGGGTATATTTATCCGAAAAATAGTACAAGGGTATATTTGTTATGACACTCATAGTACATCACTACATGAGTATATTTGTACCTTTTCCCATTTTTGAAATCATACTCCCTTCATCCCGGAATTATCTTCATTCTTTCCTTTTTGATGCGTCCCAAATTTATCTCCTTTTTCCTTTTTTGGCAAAGAATTTGTGGTTCACAACCATTCTTACACATCTCTCTTTCCTCTGCACTACTCTCCACCACACATCTTCCACTATCTTAAAACTCGTGCTCAGTCAAATAAGGAGATAATTCCGGGACAGAGATAGTACTGTTGAATTTTGAACATATTTTGCTCTTGTTTGGTGATTTTTTTTTTGTGTACTGTGGGCTAAAAGCCCGGACACTAATTGGCATACCAAGCCCCAATTTATAAATCGAGCTCTTCTCCCTCGTAATCAACTAGGGTTAAGCAGACGCTTGAAGGCACCGTCGTCAAGGCGTATCTTCCCACTAGCAGTCAAAATGGTGAAGGGACGTCAAGGAGAGCGCATCAGGTTTCCGATTCCTCCAACGCTGTAATCAAATTCTCATTTCTGATCTCTCATTTTATCTTACGTGTGGTTCTTTCTTTGGTTGCAGACTCTATGTCAGGGGGACAGTCTTGGGTTACAAGAGGTGATTCCCGGAAACCCTAATCTAAATTTCAGTTCTTTATAATATTCTTGGAAAGTTTACTTTAATCGTGTGCAAATCGATGACAGATCGAAGTCGAACCAGTATCCAAGCACCTCATTGGTTCAGATTGAAGGAGTGAACACTAAGGAGGAAGTGGGTTGGTACCAGGGAAAGCGTATGGCTTATGTCTACAAGGCTAAGACAAAGAAGAACGGATCTCACTACCGTTGCATCTGGGGAAAGGTCAGTCGGCCTCATGGAAACAGCGGTGTCGTAAGAGCTAAGTTCAAGTCCAACTTGCCGCCCAGAGCCATGGTTTGTTTGAATTGCATAACTTGTTCATATTTAACCATTATAGGCTTCTTTTGTTTTATGTTTATACTCCGTATTCTGTTTTCATTTTTTTAATACTTCTTTCCAAAATTTGCAGGGAAACAGTGTCAGGGTTTTCATGTATCCTAGCAATATCTAAGGTAATCTCCAGTCAGTCTTCATTTTTACTTTCCTATTGCTGCTTTTGTTAGTCATTAACACTTAAATTATTGCCTTGAAACTTTTTATATTGTAAAACAATGCCTGATGAATCATGTCATTTTCTCCATAACATAAGAACTTTGAAAGTTCAAAGAGTTCTATCATCACATATGAATTGAGTTTACTGTTCGTTAAAGAATGTTTGGTCATCATTACCAAGGGCTATGAATGATAATTTCCTAAATTTGTAACATCAGAAATGAAATCCACTCTCATCATTGTTTGGATAAAATAATGTTTGGTTGACCGAGTTTGATGCAGGGTATATTTTATTTACCATTAAAAGGCTTACTTTAAGCTGATTTGTTGAGTATGTTTTGTAATATCTCGGTATTCTATGATTTACATGAAGGTGTTATATCCGCATATTTAATTCAAATAACCTCATTGTACTCCGTATATTATAAAGGTTTACATTATTACATAATTACCCAAGTCGCAACCCTTCCCTTATTCAACTATTCACCCTATTTATATTTGCTGTGGGGAGAAAACAGTGACCCTTGACAGGATATTCTCATATTTTACTACTCCGTAGATAGCACACACATATCTGCATCTACACTTCTTAAAATTCTACAGTCTGTATAAAAAGACCGGATACCTGCACACCTCAAGATGTAGGTTGAAGTTTGCTAAGTTTTATATATTGTGTCACAATCGTGCAGTGAAGAAGATGAAGAATAGGACTATTGCTGCAGTGCTTCAGGGAGCCTACTCTTTATTTATAAAATTTTCAGAGTTAAACTTCCTGTGTTTTTCATATTTACTGTTTAGACAACTTTGTTGTGTGTTTAATGAACAAACACATGGTCTATTACTTCTGTTATTTGACATCCTTTTTAACTGCATCATCTGTTTTGTTCACAAAAGAACTTGATGACGTTTCTTCTTTTGTTCCATTTACATAGTTCTTGACGTCATTGCTTTTTACATCTCAAGATTATTAGTTGCTGCAATGCGCCCTGTATTTGACCTTTGGGATTCCATCCCATTGCCCCCACCTCCTCCCCTGTTTCACTTGGAACTAGTGATGGATTGGGACTGACCCGGGACTGTGTGAGCTAGGGCTTCGGGTTTCAGGCCCGGTACCGCCTGGGATTGTACTGGGACTGGGCTGGGCCTAAACAGTACTGTTTCAGGCTGGGCTTCAGGACTGGACTGGGCAATAAAGTAAAAAAATAATAGAATTGGCCCAAAAAATTAAGCCTGAAATCTGCCCTTGGATCTATAGGGCTGGGCCCGGACTGGGACTGGGCTTATGCACTAGTGGGTCCGGCTGGGTCAAAACAGTACTGGGTCTGGGTCTGGTTGACCCATCCCAGATTCCCAGTCCATCCCTACTTGGAACTATAGGAACCTGCACTGGTTAGCCAAGCATAGTCTGGCTGTTGTATACAGACGTATACTCACGTGTTACTAATACTCCCTATGACTGAAACATGAGAAAGTGACACGCGTGTTAAGAAAATGAACTGGCATATCCCTATGTTTACATGAATTTGCCATATGGTTTGATTACATTTTGTGTGTAGTTTTAATAGTAATTTAGAGGGTAGTGCATTGAGGAATAAAAAGTGAAGCCACCATTGCCTGACCCTAGGTAGGGATGGACCCAGGCTGGTCCGGTTCTGGTTTCGGGCCGGGCCCAGGCGGGCTTTTTTTGCAAATGTTGGGTTCGGAACTGGGCCGGGTTGATACCGGGTCCGGGCCTAACCGTACCGGGCCGGGCCCAGGTCAAGTTCATTTTTTTTTTGTTTCTAATTAACACCCGCCCCCCGCCCCCCCCCTCACCCCACCCCCAAACCCCCCAAAACACCCAACCCTAACCTAGAAAAGCAAAAAAAATTGAACAAAAAAATTGAATCGGGCCCGGCCTGAACTGCCCAGGCCGGTTCACCAAAAGTTGGGCCTGAGCCCGACTCGCCTGACTTGCCCAATCGGGCTCAAAGCCCGGAACCGGCCAACCGTTCCTGGTTCGGTCCGGGCCCAAACAGTACGGGCCGGGCTGGTTCCGGGGTGGGCCGGGCTGGTTCCGGGGCGGGCTGGCCTGGTTTAGTCCATCCCTAACCCTAGGCATGGACCAGTCCAAATTGGGCTTTTCTATTGGGGGTTAACGCCCGGAACTGGCCCCAGATTCTACTGGGATTTGGCTGGGCCCTGGTCTGGTAATTTTTTTTGATTTTCTAATCAATTCCCACCCCCACACCCCAAGACCCAAACCCCTCCAAAACACCTAGCCCCACACGCCTACCACCCCAGGCTGTTTAAAAAAATATTTTTTTGGCCTGGAATCAGACTGGTCGGGCCTGTTCTAAAGAACCTTGCAGCCTCAGCCCTGGCTTGGTCCCGGGCAACTTGGCCGGGCTAGTCCCGCACAGTGGCGGGCTGGGCTGTTTCCTGGGCCGGGCTGACCGGAACCGGTCCATCCCTACTTGACCTGATAGCTTATAAAGAAGGGCTGCACTTAGACTTTTACTAACAAAGATATTTTCTATTTTTTCGGAAAACTTGAAAACTGGAACAAGAAATTACTAAAGAAAATTGCTGGAAAACTGGAGAAAGGAAAACAAAAAATCCTTTTTACCAAATCATTTTCCAAAACGAAAAAATGAGATGTCTTTATTTTCCTTAATGAATTGGAGAAGTGACTTTTACTAGTTTTTCAAATTTGGAAAACGCGGATGCTGCAGTGCTGTTACAACGAATTTGCATATTTACACAGTTACGCCTAGTGGTCGATGCGGTCCCGCTATGATGTCAGTTCTAGTCCGGTCAATGACCCTACGGTCTCTATCTTGTTCTGTAACTGACTCGGCGATCCCTGTTTGGTTCGGTCGACGGTCGAGCAATCCCGGTCTAGCCCGGTTGATGACCCGACGGTTCCGATCTGACCCGATCGATGAGCCGACGGTCCCTACCTGGTCCGGTCCACGAATCGGCGATCCTTATCCAGTTCGGTCCACAATTCGACTGTTTGGTCCGGTCTACATGACCAAACACAATATAATATAAAAAACTTATATGTAATCTTTGTCAATTTTCTAACTCCCAATAAAGACTGGAAGTCATCAATACTTTATAAGGAACAAATGACAATTAAGACACTACAACAAAAAGCATTTTTGGTGTCGATAAAAAGTATTTAACATTACCTCATCTATGTGAATCTACTTTAACTCAAGTATTTGACAATTCCTTTTCCACTTTTGTGCCTATCAGGTATCTGTAGAACAGAGTCAAACTAGAGGAGAAAAGAAAAACAAACAAATACAAACACTAGCTTTTTAATTAGATGAGAATGAGGATAAGAATTATATTTTACGGTTGAAATTCATCAAAAGCACATTAAAAGTTTAAAACAAAGAGAGCCTGGCCTCTACAGCTTGATCTTACAAGCAGTAAGCAACGAGTTACCATTTTGATTCAACTTGACATAAAGAATAGTATTCTTGTGATCATGACTGCAAAACAGAAAGGAGACCAACAGTACAAAGAGACGAATGCCCTCCTGGCCTCAGAAAATATCATAAAATGTTAGGACATCCTTAAATAAAATATATATAATAACATTCTTTACTAACAATGAACACAACTCTCTCCCAGACTAATCATCCCAAACTTTAACAAGATATTATCCATAATATTGCTTATTGAATTTTTTTGGGTGCAAAAGAGTATTAATCAGCACGGAATACAGTTCCAATAATGCTTCTTGAATGTTAAATTAATGAAAGAAGAGTACACTTTGCCATGCTAAATTGAAAATTCAAAAGAACTGCAAATAAGCAAAAGGTTCACGCTGCAAAAACATGGTGTGATGACAACATGGTGTGATAAAAATCAAAACCAAAACTTAACGTGATAAGGTTTTCTCCCCCCACTTCTGCATCCCTATTTTCATCAAACTCTCCAGCTTCTCTCTTCGCTTGTCCTTCACACTCTACAGCTCTATGGCCCATTTGACCACATATAAAACATTTTCTTGCTGCATTTAGGACATCTAGCAACTTGCTTCACAACCCATCCCCAAAAGAAATTACATGAAGTGTTAAGCATAGATGGTTTGGAAAGAAGTTACCAACTAGTAGGTTATTGACATCCATATCTGTCAAGTGCTTAACCCATGTCAATATGAAATCCATGAATGCATAGTTACCAAAGGTCACAACTATAATAACATTATTATAAGGAATAATTGTAATTAGATTTTGATGATGCTATATTAATTAGGACTTTAGAGTACCCCTTCTTTAGATTGAATGTATTAGAAATTTTCCTTGTAAAGTTTCTTAGATTAGTCGACTGACAGAAGACCTCCTAACAGAAGACCCTCTGATAGGCTTTGTCCTGACAGAAGACCTTTGGCCCTTTGTTGATTCTTACTCAGACAGAAAACCTCTGGATCTCTGTTGGACATCAATACAACAGAAACCCTCTTAACTTTCTGTTAGTTTGCATCTGACAGAAGACCTAAAGGACCCTCTGATAGCTTTTCCAACAGAAGTGCCCAAGACCTTCTCTGAGAGACTTTCTGCTGAAGACGCCAGAAGGCCTGACACTTGGAGAATTTTCTTGATACTACTTCAACCGGTGAAACCAACGAAAGATTCCTTCAATGGCTAGAAGACTTCAACGGAAGAACTACAGTACGTGCATTAAATGCACATTTAATGCCTCCCATACTCTGTAGAGTAAATGCAGATGATTGGCCGCAATGTCAGGATAGCTTTATCCCAAAATAGTAACCCGCCAACTTTGCTGGGTCCTACTGGTCAAGTCAACTGTTCGCGCATTAAATGCAGTTGTCCTCCTCATCCTCCAACGGGAAGACAACCTCAGTATAAAAGATACACTACAAAGAACAACAAAATAACTTTGCTACAACATTACGAATATAGAAACATTCAAACATTCAAACATACAAGCCTCCTTGAGATTAAAACCTTCATCATCTTCTACAAGAGAAGGCAGACGTTGGAAAAGATTATCTACTCACATCTCCTCATCTCCAACTCAAGGAAAGTACCATCCGTTCTTCAACACTTCAAGCACTTCAACAAATACATCTCTTGTGACGAAGCAAGTTGGAGGAACCCCTGTTTCATCTAGAAACTTTTCTCTAACAAGAAGGACGTCCAAGTAACTGGAGCAGTGAAGTGGTAATTCTTCCGGGAAGCTCAGCGAAAGGACCAGTCTTAAAGTAAGCCAGGAAGTGCATCCCAGGAGACATCTAGACTTGAAGAAGATGTGGAGAGCTTCTTAAGTGCTAGGACTAAGGCGTTGTAAACGGACGTTTTTACAAGCTTAGTGGAACAGTGGATTAGAGGAACGAGTTGTTCCTTGAACCACTATAAAAATCCCTGGTGTCATTTACTTACTGCATTTACTTATCGCTTTTAGTTAGAACTGATTAACTCCAAAGACTTGGTCTCTATGTTCAGCAGAACGTGTCTTGTGAGTTAACAGAAGGCCTACTGCCTTTGCTTCTCTGAGGCTAATCTGACAGAACCCCTTCCAGAACCCCTTCCGCTGCCAGTCTGTTCTGCCAACAGAACAGGCTATTCTGTTAAATCTCGTATTTAGCTTGAAAAAGTTTTAAAACCAGTACAGTCTATTCACCCTCCCCCCTCTAGACTGTACCTAATATAATCGGGACCAACAATTATTGCTAACTCTTTCCTCGAATAGTTCTTTTCTCAATATGAAAGTTTCTAGGGATGGCATTCTTGAACCAGGAGGGGGTGTTCCATATTGGTTTCAGTGGCTTTCTCTGAGCTTCTGGCCCATTAGTTAGACCAACTGTGGCTGTTTGAGACTCATTGAGCTTACGAGTGGGAATCACAATCTCTACATCAGAATAAAACATCCCATAGGAAAGGCTAACGATTAGAAATACAGTAAATGAAAAAGCCATCGTCACTGGGCAAGAGAGGATATATTCAAAAATGGGCCTCCA